GTTATACCACTATCAAATCACACAAGATCATATTTGGCTGAGTTCAACCAATAGGAATCATTCTCCTCGTGTGAGTTAACACATAAAGCTCAATTTCCCTTCCTGACCACAGCATGATGACCACAACATGATTCATTGTGTAATTTTAACCTAACTCACCTACAAAGGCACAGTTCCCCTGGACATAAAGTTCTCAAGAGCCACATGAGTAGATTGGCTACTCTAAGGATATGCAAACATTCCTCTTGGCCAGAGAGATGTTCACCAGGACTACCTGTGCTTGAATGATCACTGCACGTGTCCCATGAGAGGACTGACTACACCTGTCCCAAGCACTCATCTTTTCGTACTTATCAGAAGTCATTCACCAAAAATTCAACAAGAGGATTACATCATCAATGCTTCACCAACACATGCCACTTAAAAGGATACTTGTGGTCAAAGCTGTACCACAGCCTGAATATCCACGCGCTCTCCTGCTTTGTCCGGTTTCCTCTGGCAGAATCTGGCCCATCCTATGAACAAACAAGAGGACATATGCTTAGTTGCACAAAAAGGGATCTCAAAAAAGGGAGAGAAAGCTTCTTTTTTAACTATAAATCTTATAGATCTAGAGCTCATTGTCAAACATCCCATATCACCAAAGTTTCAAAGATATATTTGGAGAAAATATTTCAACAGAAATTGCATAAAGCCAAAGGGCAGAAAAAGCAATCCTCAAACTAAAAAGACTTGTTTATGTCTGTGTGTGCATCAACTCAATGTAGTACAAAATTTCTTTTGGCATTTTTATTGGAATTTTCCTCAAAGTGCCTTTGAGCAGATTAATTACCCTAAAATAGTCTAGATCCTAATGAGACAAAATTGATTTATACAGAATATTTTTAAAAGCATCTGTGAAACCAACTTTCCACGTCTAAGGAAGCCAACTTTCCTCCCTCAACCCCATCGCCCCAAGCAGGCCTTGGGAAACCACACTTTGTTGAGTTTCTTGACAAAGTAGCCAAGGCTTCTCTGTGTTTCTTATCCAGGTACCTAATGTTGTGCTCCAGGTGACGAGGTAACTTATTTCCCTACCAGCTTTAGGAAGGTGGGGTCAGTGGACAGGGGAAAGAGAGACCTGATTAGCAATTCTGTTATTTTATCTACCCTCAAGTATCAAGTTCCTTGCTGCTCTTTACATGCCCTTCCAACTCAAATATCTCTATCACTGAATTTTCAAAATAACCTGCAAAATCAAATGTTCACTCGAGGTCTAGGAAATCTAGACATTATAAGTATCATAAACAGCACAATTAATATAAAAATCAGATTGACTACAGCAATTTGAGGGCACTAGTGGGGCTCTGAAAGTACAGATGGCTTGTGGAGCACAGCCATTTTTCTCATCATCCTCTTTAATATCACAGGGAGAGCCAAGTCTGCAAGTGAAGGACAATTGACAGTTACCGAATAAAACTTGAACCAAAATTACAAGCAGTTCTAAATCACAGTGAGTGTCAATTCTACCTGTAATAGCAACACCAAGGATTGATCGGAGATCTTTGAGAAGCTAAGCATATAGACAAGTAGAAGGAAGGAAATTACCAAGCACTATTTACATTCCTAAAGTTCCCAAGAGCAAAGATTATTTTAAAAAATTCAGTCCCCATGGTATTTCAGGAATGTTTAGTGACAGATATGGAAATGGCTTAGTTTAACAGGCCCTTCTGTGGATGAGGAAATATAAGTAAGGAGAGACCCCAGAGACCCATTTTATTTTATACTCTTATTTATTTATTTTTTTATTTTAGCATATTACAGGGGTACAAATGTTTAAGGTTATATATGTTGCCTTTGCCCCACCTGAGTCAAAGCTCCAAGTGTGTCCATTCCCCCGACAGTGCGCATCACACTCATTATGTTTGTATATACCCATCCCCCCCCCACCTGCTCAATGCCCGATGAATGTTATTCCTATATATGCACTTAGGTGTTGATCAGTTAAAACCAATTTGCTGGTGAGTACATGTGGTGCTTGTTTTTCCATTCTTGGGATACTTCATTTAGTAGAATGGGTTCTAGCTCTATCCAGGAAAATACAAGAGGTGCTAGATCACCATTGTTTCTTAAAGCTGAATAGTACTCCATGGTATACATATACCACATTTTATTAATCCACTTGTATTGATGGGCACTTGGGTTATTTCCACAGCTTTGCAATTGTGAATTGTGCTGCTATAAACATTTGAGTGCAGATGTCTTTTCTATAGAATGTCTTTTGTTCTTTTGGGTACATGCCCAGTAATGGGATTGCTGGATCAAGTTTATAAATCATGTGGAAGAAAGAGGACACAGAAATGTCTCTACTTGAAGATGACAATCGTTCCTTTGGGTAACCAATCACCAACCCAATGACAACTCTAAGAATATTTCAAAATGCCACATGACTAAGTATAAAAGTGGTAGATGACCTTTCTGATAGGCAAATATTTTTATGGAAAAAATCAAATGGTTCTTTACAACGTGATAGGCTCTGGGCTCTCAGTTCTAAGTAGTACCTGTAAAATTTTACTAAAGAATAAACTAGCAAGATGATAAACATCATCAGGAAGGATATTATAAACCATCAGGCACAAAACAAGTCCCCCAAAGTCAGTTTCTCCCCGTCTTCCACTTAAATCAATAAGAAAAACAACAAACCCTACTCTGTCATTTCTTAACCTCTGCAAAACCACAAGTATTTATTATCACCTGGAATACTTAAGTTCTTGCCATCTCATCTCAAGGAAGCTACAAGAGACTTATGTAAGCCCCAAAAGGGACAATTAAAACGAGTTAAGCAAGTGAGGGGCTTCTATTTGACCAAACTAACAAAAGGTCTTCTCAGGCTAGAGAAAGATATGCCTGTAATCCACAAATAAGATAAAGTGACCTAAGACTCCACAGCAAATCCCAACTAAGAGACAACCCTTAAAGGCTAGGCGATAAGTTCAGGGCAAATCAAAGGTGTAATCTTGCAAAAAGGGCATTAAACAACTTCTTATTCCAAGAGATGGTGCCAGAAGCACGATTAGGTATGAGAAGAACTTAGACAAATCCACATATGGTGGCTTTGGGGAAATCAGGGTGGTTCTGTGGAATAGAACTAATTTTTTAAGCTGACCCGGAAGATAACCAATGCCTGCTTCACCACATGATCTGAGCTGCTATCACAGAGAAGCCAGGAGAGCCCTTTCTGTGGGTTCCAAAGCACAAGGCTGAGCAGGGGTCACTATGGGCAAAGGCAAGGCCTCTTTCCTGGCTGCTCTTGGAAACTCTTGGATTTACATTCCTGTGCTGCCCACAGAAACAGCAGAGACTTTCTCTCTTACCACACCCATCCTCAAAACCTGCATTCCCACCAGAAGGGTTCATACCTCATGTCTTTAGCTCAGACTACTTCTAGAGCCTGGGATATTCTTTCTTCCTCTCATCTCCTCCCTACCACACCTACCTAGCTGACCTCTATTCATCTTTCAAGGCCATGCACAAGCTTGGTTTCTCTGCAAAATGTTTCAAAAGCAACAGAGCACTCCAAGAGGTGGAGGTGTGGACATCACAGGCTCTCTCAACAAACTAGCTGAGTCCTGACTGTCATTGCCTGGCTGTGTGATTGCTGGCAAGTTACCTAACCTTTCTGTGCTTCAGTGTCCTCACTGTACAATGAAGATATAAACAATTTCCTACCTCATGGGGACATTATGAGGCTGTGATATTATGATACAACAAGAAATATATTATACATTGGTCTTCACCCCAGTTCCTGGCACAAAAACTCGTAAAACCCTTGGAACTTCCTGAGTGGTTGGGATGAGAGGAGCATCTTTTATTCATAATAAGCTCCTTTTGCAAGCATTGGTGGTTCAGTGGTAGAATTCTCACCTGCCACAATAAGCTCCTTTCAATCATACCTGAATTAATGCTAATGAGGTAACTTTTGGAGGATGGGGGCTGGTTGCCAGAGGAAGCAACATGATTAGAGGGTTGGAACTTTCAACCCCACTCCCAATCTCCAGGAGGGGACAGGAACTAGGGATTGAGTAAATTATTAGTGAGATGGCCAATGATTTAATCAACCATGCCTACATAATAGGACCTCCATAAAACCTTAAAGGATGGGGTTCAGAGGGCTTCCAAGTTGGCTCCACACACTCTGATCCCCATCCCCTGCTTTATGCATTTCTTCCATTTGGCTGTTCCTACGTTGTATTCTTTATAATAAACTGATAATAGTAAGTAAAGTGCTTTCCTGAGTTCTGTGAGTCATTCTAGCAAATTATTGCACCTGAGGAGGGGGTCATGGGAACCCCTGATATGTAGCCAGTCAGAAGTACAGGACACAACCTGGCCCTTGCGACTAGTGTCTGAAGGGAGGGCAGTCTTGTGGGACTGAGCCTTAACCTGTGGGGTCTGAGCTAACTTTGGGCAGTTAGTGTCACAATTGAGTTAAACTGTAGGATACCTAGTTGGTAACCAGAGAATTGGAGGATTGATTGGTGTGGGAAAAACAAAAAACCAACATATTTGGTGTTAGAAGTATTGTGAATGTAGAGAATAAAAGAGGTATTTATTTTAGAGGCGTAAATGATTTTTACACTTAAAGAACTTAGAATGGTGTCTGATATGTGGTAAGCACTCAACAAATAGCAATTGTCACTACTATTATTAGCCATGTGACTTTCTGTGCCGATTAAATATTTGTGAAATATTTAACACAGTATCTGGCACATAGTTAGAGCTCGCATTATTAATTCAGTTCATCTGCAAAGATTGGATATGTAATTTCAAACATATATTTGTTGGGGGAAAAACTAATTGTTAATATCATTTGGCTATCTTGCGTGGCTCTTTACACAGGGGATTTTTAATCTTTTTACTGACAATATTAGTAGAGAAGCCCCTTCAAGAAAATAAACACCGGCAACCCTGCTTGTTACCATTTTTTTTTATACAAATTCTGCATTTTTGTGCAAAACATGAAACACATTTATCTTTATTCTCACTGCTTAGTCTTATCAGTAAGCTAGCAGGACTTAATAGATACCTTTCAAAGAAACAGAGACTGAGATGTGTTTTATATAACTTCAATAACCTTAGCACTACAGTAATGAGAGATGCAGTATCCTTTTGCTATGGTTCAAGATAAGAGGGAAGGAGGTCAAAGGAAAGAGAAAAAAATCAAAATTGTTACAACTGAGAAGCTACTTCTCTTTAAGTTTCACCATGGTGCCACCTTCATTTTGTACATAAACATGGTGGCATAATTCAAGCTCAATAAATCAAAATTCTTAATATTTAAAATTTACCTTGACTTTCAATTATCACCATATTAACAACCAAAATAATTAGATAAAACACATAGGAAAGAGTAATGTTAAACCCCACTTTACTAGAGTTGGTTTCTTGACACATTAACTCATTTTTTATAGAAAAGGGATAGTGCATCTCGGTTTGCTTACAAGCTAGGAGATCACTTTGAATTCTGCATTTCCTAACTGCAAACGGAATATAGCACTTATAACAGGTTATAAATAAACTGGTTTTCAAGCATAGAGCCAGCCCCAATGATAATAATACACTATTTAAAAAGACCTAAGGCAATGAATTCCATTTCCAATGGAAAAAAAGAACTGTGCAAACAAGCTTAAAACTACTTTTTTTGTGCCAGTGTTATAAAATGTAGCTTTAAATAAAACCTTGACCCAAATGTCAGCAACTTGAGAAAAGAATTTGGGTGGTAGGGCAAAGAAAAAAGTTATTTCATTTAGGAAAAATAACCACTATCTTTTCCTAATCTTCAACACACACAATTTAAACATATACAGCTGCTGTAACACTTTACACAATTCCTATGTACTGGAGCAATAAGATCTAAATACAATTATATTTTTAAACACTGGGTCAAGGCTTTACATAAAAATACCATCCTACTTTTCCCACTAAGTTTCTAAAATATCACATACTTTCCCCCAACATCTGCAGCCATCCAGGAATTTTTAGGAAACTTTTGTGCATGATCTTAATTCCTAATCCCTGGCTCTTTGGGCTCAATGACAAAAGATCAAAACCACCCCAAAATGATGGTTCACTTGAAGTCAGACGAGAGACCCTGGCTCAATTAGTCTCATAGGATGAAAGCAGTGCTGCATCAACTGGCTCCATGCAGGAGGGGCACGTGAAGGATCTCATCAACCAGTCATCTATACAGTCCAGGTGATAGATGTGCATGCACGGCAGAAATCGAATTGGGTCCCCATAAACAAAGTCCATCATACAGATCACACACTCTCGGATCTTTTTCTCTGATCCATCTCTTCCAGGGTCATAAACTCCTTTAGGCAGGTGCTGAATAAGGCCTATTCTTTGAGCTATCCTAATTTGTTCCTCTTCAGTCAGTTGGGTTGCTAGCCGAGTCTGGCTAGGTGTTGGATGGTAGACCGGAACTGGAACTTGTTCCTGATATGGCGGCGGCGGCTCCTGATCCGGCTCCGTTCCCTCGCCAAAGCTAGCCCGGTCGGACTGAGACTCGTGAAGTAAGGAGATGTCATCCGAGGTGGGGGATTTGAGGCAGTTCTCCATCTTCTGGGGTTGGAGCGTATGATCTGGGGTAGGAAGCAAGCAGTGGTGGGGTCGTTCGCAGCTCAGCAGTCAGCCTCGGTAGGCGAGGTGGGGTCGACCGGCAGGCCGGGCTCAGGCGGTGGCGACTCCCCCGCCCCCCGGCGCCCCCGAGGGGCAGCTCATGCCAGCCCCCGGGGGAGGGGGCTCAAGGCTGGGCCGCGGACTTCGCTGGGGTCGCGGCGGTTGCCTCTGGAGACGAAACACTTCCCCACCCCGCCCTCCCACGGGGCGGCGGCGGCCACGGAGCTGCTGGGCCTAATCCAGGTCAGGAGGGGGGGGCGCAGCCGTCGCGGCTGCCTCAGCTGCTGCCTCAGCTGCTGCTGCCCCCGCCGACGCCGGAGCCGCGGCCGCGGGCCTCGTCCTACTCCGCCTCAGCGCGGCGGCGGTGGCGGCAGCCAGAACAAGTTGTTACCATTTTTGAGCATGTAAGAACCAGTGTCTATTTCTTCTGCATTCTGCATTTATTTAAGCACCTACTATGTGCCAGGTACTGTACTGGGTCCTAGAAAGACAAAGATGAGCAAGACTCAGCACCTGCCCCTTGAGGAGCACCCTTTCCAGAGGGGAAGAATGGCAAATGGTCTGATTTTTGGAATAATTTTTCTAGAACTAATGAATAACGATATCTGTGTAGAATTATATTTCATTCCGTTCTTATATAATGTTAAAAGATTTTTTTCCAAAGTTAAGTTCATTATAATAATGAGAAGACTTTACTTTTTTTTTCAGAGATGGAGCATATGGTAGGCAGAATAATGGCCCCTCAAAGATTTCTACATCCTAATCCCTGGAGGTTGTAAGCATGTTACATGACCTGGCAAAAGGGGCTTTGTGGATGGACTTAAGGTTATCCACGTAGGCCCAATATAATCATATGGGCCCTTAAAATATACAAGGAGGACAAAAGAATCAAAAGGTTACAGTGGAAGAAGACACAGGAGAGATTCAAAGCTTGACAAGGACTTGCCCCACTGTTGCTGGCTTTGAAGATGAAAGGGGGCTTCTAGGAACTGAGCATGACCCCTGGCCAACAGCCAGCAAGGACATGAGCCCTAAGTCCTACAACCACATGGAACTGAATTCTACCAACAACCTGAATAAGCCTCAAAGTGGCTTCTCCCCAAGAGCCCAGCCCCACCAACACCTTGCTTTTGGCCTTGAAAGACTTGAAGCAGAGAAAACAGCTGAGCCATCAGACTTGTGATCTACTAAACTGTAAGATAATAAAATTGTGTTGTTTTAAGCCACTAAGTTGTTGGTAATTTGTTATAGCAGCCACAGGAAATTAATACAGAGAAGAGTAAATAAATGATGTAACTTGATTTGGGCCTTTATCATGTCTTTGGGATGATGGGCCCAAGATTTCTCAGCAGGGGGTAATCACAGGGTTTAAAAGCAGGGAATCAAGTCTCTCACAGTGACACATGGATAGTTTTATTCCTTGGTTAAAACTCTTCCCAGAGTGCCAAATTGCCTAGCCCAGGGCTTCTCAAATTGTAAAGTGCACAAAAATCCCCTGGGGATACTGTCAAACTGCGGATTTGCTTCAGTGGGGCTGGGTGAGGAGTCTGCATTTCCAACAAGCTTTCTGGTGACGCCCACAGGGCACTTGGAGCAGCAAGAACAGGCCTCTACTCCCCAGGGGAATAGCAGACAATCTCTCGCTTCTGCCACTCTCCACTCTCACGTTTCATCATATTGTCATCAAACCCTTTAGGACAGGAATTCATCTGTCTTGTTGCAGATGTATTTCCAGAGCCTGAAGGAATGTTTGAAGTAAAACAGGTGCTCAGTAAATATTTGTCAAATGAATTAATACATTCATATTGACTCTGAGCTTCTAGAAAATAAAAAAAAAAAGAATAGCAGAAAGGGAAATCAAAGGGCCTAGGGTGGCAACTGGAAGAACAAAACACTTAGGGGGTGGGGGGACCAGAGAGCAGCAGTTTGAAGAAAGGTATCTCAGCAACTGTTTGAAGTTAAAAATTTAGGTGACTGGGTATCAGATTTCAGCATGGAGGAAAACCGGAGGAGAACTCAGGAATCAAACTTGCTCAGAAAGTCATAAGTCAATGCAATCATGAACAGCTGATTTTCTACAGTATTTACTACACACGCACCGCGCGCGCACACACACACACACACACACACAAGCATAGTGTGGTTTCCTGTCTTCCACATTTTATGAATATCCGGCTTGCGACCTTGTCCTGCTGATATGATAAAGCTGGGATAAATTCAGATTCATCCTCATAGCAGCTCCCATCAATGAGTTCCCTTCTGTAAACTTGGGGAAGGAAGTAAATGATGTGTCTGCATGTCCGGCCAACAGAAATGTCAGCTGTCTAGTCTGGCATGAAAAGTTCCCCCTTTAATGGGGTGGGAAGCCACCCCTGGGATTGGGCAGCTTGTCTCCAGCTGGGGTTGTTTTTGTTTTTGTTTCAAAGTCACCAAGACCTCCAGAGAAACAAAGCAACTGAGTTTTTTTTGTTGTTGTTTTTTTTTTTTTTGTCTTGTTTTGTTCTAATGAGTCAAACTTGCCAGGGACACAAAGCTGAAGTCTGCCCACAATATTCTTATGCTTATCTCACATAAGGCCAATGTTTCTTTCCAACAGTTTCTTTCCTTCTCCCATAAGAGCTAATATTCTGTAGCTCTCTAGCCATGACTCTGTTTATAACCTGCTTCTAGAACCAGTGAGGAAAATCATGCTCATTATAAGAAATGCTTTCCCATCAAATATCACTTCTTTGTTTGTTTGTAGTTTTTAGGAAGATTATTTAGAAAATGAGGTAAAGAGAACTGTCCTTTTTTTTCTAGTGGAGAACAAACATCTGGACTTTCCCTATCTCTGACTTCAGTTTCATGACAACACTGAGCATGTGATCTGGATCTATTTCAGGGGAAACCACAAGAACCCAGGGTTTCACCCAAAAATGAGAAGGCCATTTATTTCCCTATTTTCCTGTTTCTTGTGACCACTGAATGCTCCCAGCCCTGCTGTTAGTGGTTCACTGGAATGAGAAGGTCAGGTCGGGAGGATTTGGAGAAATAAGGGTCTTTCTGCACAAGAGCATTAGTCATTTCTAAGAGGGTGTCCTGGGGAACCAAGCTTGCAGTTTGCCTATGTTTCCCAGTCTGATAGCAATCTTGAGAGCTTTTCAAAAGGGCAGTGGAACTGACTTTGAGGGTCCCTCTGCATGTCTATGTGTGAGGCTTAGAAGGGAGAAGGTGAGGGGAAGCTGTGACACAGCTCCTGGCTAGGGCTGGCAAATGGGGTGCCATTAGGAGTGCTACATGAGTCGTTGCCAGCCTGTTCACCACACCACATGCACAGTGCTCCTGACCCAAAGAGCCCTCTCGGAGCTAATAGGAAGGCAATGCTGAGTTTACCCATCCAAGGGGATTCCTGAGGCTCACTCCACATGGGGGTGGGCTATTTTAGCTGTCGCTGTATGGACTAAACGCCAAAACCCTTAGCACTCAGGCCCCACTGCTTTCTCAAACATTTCCACATAAAAATGACAGCAGGTTTGCTACTGAGTCTCCAGTGTGTGGGTCTGATGAGATGCACAGTAAGTTCTGCTATATGACCAACCAAACCATTTCATTTATTTCCTTTTACAGATGTATGGATACAGAGGTGGGAGCAATGGGGAAACAACAGAAGGGGGGGGATGTTTTGCCTGGTCTGGAACTGTCAAGATGAAATCTCTCTAAATCCTGACTATCCAGCTGCTATTAGCCTGTTTTCTTACAAAATTAATCTAAACTGGTCACAGTTCTGTGGAGGATGCTTAGGAATAGGGCAGCCATATCCTACCAGAGCCATTATTTTCCTTTCAGTGAAATACAGACATCTATCATGTTTCCCCCCCCCAGGTTTTCTCATGATGAGTTTCAAAACTGCCCAAACTGTTATACTCTAAATTAGCTTCCAAGTAGAAGTTCCTGAAACCCTGTTTTCTAAAGTCCTTAATCAAAGCTAGCATCAATTAGCAATTTTCCAAAATGTTCCCAATTGGCACGGTAGTCAATTCTAATATAATCTCAGAGGTCTTCTGGAGCTCCATTAAAGTGGGCACCAGATTTCCAAGGAAGCTCCTTAAAAACTCTTCCCCAAATGGCCCAAAATTTCAGAGGTCATGGCTTTGTGTCATTTAAGCTGGAACCTAGAATGCACATCAGTGCCATAAATGCCTTATCAGGCTGTGGCAACTCTCAAAGAGAAAGAAACCTGAAGAGTGTCTAGTAGCACTTCCTGGGCCCTGCACAGCACCACAACATGTGTGATTCAAAGCTAACTAGAAGAAAAAGAATAGGGTTACATGAACAACACATGTATGTGGCCAATAAAGCTACCTGCTGCATGCTGCCTCTCCCCCCCCTTACAATTACCCATCAAATACCTGTGGAACTCCCCCCCATGTGTCAGCACTGTGCTCAGCACTGGATATTCAATGCTGAACATAATAGTCCTTGACTCTCAAGGCCAAAAAATAAAATTTTGATAACACATTTTTGCCCCTGATATAACTCTCCTTTCTCCACCTTGCCTGCCCAGGATAGGCCTGTCTTGGGAAGGAGCAAAACCTGGAGCCAAAATCACCCCAACAGTTACACAATAGGGATGATATGGCAGCTTAAAACTGCTCCACAAATTTGTTGACACTCTTCCCATTCAGAGGTTATGGTTTCTATCTCCTCCCGTTGAATCTGGGCTGGTCCTAGGAATGTGTTCCTAACCAATAGAAAGCCGTAGAAGTGATGCTGGAAAACTTACAAGATTAGGTCAGAAAAGGTAATGTAGCTTCCACCTTGCTTGCTGGGACACTCGCTTTTAGAACCCTGAGCCATCATGTAAGAAATATGACTAGCCAATGGCCACCATGCTGGCAGGCAGCTTGAGCCCCATGGAGAAGCCATGTGTAGGGATTTCAGTCTCAGGTCCTCATTCTTGTGTCCCCCTCAGCCCAGATGCCAAACATGTGAGTAAATGAGCCTTTGGATGATTCCATCCCCCAGCCTTGAGTTAACCTCAGCCTCCCAGTTTTCCCATCTGAGGCCCTGGACTTCGCAGCGCAAAGACAAGCCGTCCCTACTGTGCCCTTTCCAAATGCCTGACCTAGAGGATCCCAGGCCCTGAAGGAACGGGAGTGCCTACAGTCACCAACTTCTCTCCTCTCTTCCTCAGATTCCCTGGG